AACATACCATTCATGTATTTAAAACAATGAAAGCTAGCAACTAAGAAGATCAACTAAAGAATGGATTTCTAGGTGCTGAGGAGAACAATACAACATTTAAAACCATAGCAAAAGATATTCAAACTGAAGAGGTAAAGATATTCAAATTGAAGAGGTAAAGATATTCAAATTGAAGAGGTAAGTAACTTGTAAACCCAATCCTCCCTTCTTCGGTGATTTACAACAGTAAATAAAAAAGATAACTTGTAAAAAAATCAAGCTAAATAGCTCATGTTTCTATCTTATATTAGGAATCAAGTGTAGCACTATCACAAGAGCAGAGCAGCACAGAGAAAACAGCTAATGAAGTGTCTGACGAGCAAATTCCAAGAGAAGTAGATATGGCTGAGAGCAGTAGAAAACCAGCTTCAAATGGCACTTAAATTGCTTTGTTAGAGAAGCTGGATAGAGTGGCAGAAACCTTTACGAAAGGTGAAGTAAGAGATTCGGAACCTAAAAATGCCAAAGAGACAACTTTCACTAATGCTGGCACAAGGTTGTAGCTAATCAACTGATAATAGAGAAATATAATAGAGAAATATAAATATAAATATACTGTACAGAAAATAAGTAGCACTTTTACCAGTGACAAAGTAAAGGAGGACTAAGAATTTATTAACTCATTGTTTCTCAAGGTAAATATGACAAGGGATGAAGAAGGAGTGAAAATTTTACATCTTATTCATCATTTTTTCCCAATTAATTTCTTGATTCAGTGGATTTATCAAACATCAACTTTTCAAGTAGAATCAAATCCTTGATTGTAATTAGTGATAACATGTAATTAGTGATAACCCTTGCAGATGCTGAGAACCGCTTGGTAGGCTATATTCTTCTTATCTTGAATCGGGTCGATCAGATCGATCCCCTGAACCGGGACGCACCCTGGTAACTTGACCGGTTCAGGCAAATACCTATACTCGTCGGCAAACATTTCATCAAGCTTGGGTATATGAAAGATTAGAGACAACACCATGGCGGTGCTTGGGAAGAGAATGTATGGCTCGATGCCAAATTCTCTAGCTACATCAAATGCGTCTACGCCGAATAAGTCAACCACCATGACCACCACCCGAGTTGACTCGGTCAAGGCCTTGAAGGAGTCTCTTAGATTTGGGATGGAGCACGTGAGACTCAGTACGATCCTTGTCTCGACCTTGACATCCTTTGGGAGATCATCGAAGCACACAGGAGGGAGAAAGATGGTGGAAATGGAGTTGGGGAGAGACTGAAGGAGTTGCTTTTGGGGTTTCATGGAGGAGCCATCACTGGGTACAAAGAAGGTTACAACAAAGTTGTGATGGTGAACAAGTCGCTTGGCTAACTCAACGAGTGGGATCAGGTGACCCATGCCCGGAGTGGGAACCATGGCTACTTGGAGCCGTGGCTCTTGGGTATTTTCCATGGCAGATTGGCTAGTTCTGGCGTGGTTTCAATTTTTATGGTTGCTGTCTGTGGGAGATGAGTGAATGGCCGACGACGCGAAGGTGAGAGAGCAGCAAGAGCAGCGACAGAGTCAGGGCGGACGGTGAAGGCTCATTGCCGTCGGTGAGAAGAGAGTGCAGACCAAATTCAATTCAAAATTGAAATTCGAGGGTTTTAGGGTGAAATTGAAATGCACGGAATTTACCCATGATAATTACTCTGTTAAAATACATGTATTTCATCTAAATTCAATTACATTTTATTTAGGTAAAACCAAACAGTGAAATTGAATTTGAGCACTCCAAATTCAAATACACACCGTCAAATTAAACTTGCCAAACATAGCATAAAAGAATTCAAGTGTCATTGCCTTCACCCACTCCACTTGTGATGCCTTTCAAACAGAGCTTTGATGAATTAATGAACAAAAAGTGAAGAAAGAAAAAGTCTTAATTTCTCTCTAAAAAACTATATAATAAAGAAATTAACTCCATGGATATGAAGCTCTTTACTGAAAAGTAACTAATTCTTATGTTTTAACCAAAAAAAAAAAAGTATTGTTTTAATTAAATGAGATTTCAGTATCTTCCTATCATAGTGATCAAATACATTTTTTTAAAAAATAAAATAAAAGCGATATTAGTTCTTCTCATGATAGCGATTAGACACAGTTCAAAGCAACCAACTCAATCTATATATAAAAGCAGTATTCCTCACTTGGTCAGCAATTAAGCATTTCTTTTCTTGATTGTAAACTTGGAACAAAGAAACAGTTCAACGAAATCACAATGTCATTCATATAGGTCAGAAATTGGCCTATCCAGTATATGAATCTTCAGAGTTACCTGGTCAGATTTGATAAATCTTGGTTGGCAGTTATTTCTAAGGAAGCACTTTACCAAGAAAATTAATCCTTAGGTTTACCTGTAAGTTCAGGGATTGCAGAACGAATCAATCAATTGCTTCCATAAACTAATAAGAAGTGACAATTTTAATTAGCATACCAGGTTCAAAGAGAGCGACGGGGATCAGAGGCTCAAAAAATCGTGCAATCTGCTGCAGCGAAGAAGGATGTTTCGTTTCAAGAGGAATCGCCGTTGATGTTGGTTCGAGACCGGCGAGTTGTTTACATCAGGTTCAATTGCTTCCATTGTTTACATCAGGTTCAATTGCTTCCATTGTTTACATCAGGTTCAATTGCTTCCATTGTTTACATCAGGTTCAATTGCTTCCAT